TAATACACTTCCTAATTGTTATAAAGAATGTCATCCATATTAATACATCTTCTATCTTACTACCCCTTAGCCTATTTTCCACTTCATATGACACACCTATAAAATCATTCCTTTCATAGCCTTTGATTAAGGATTTTAAATCCTTAATACAGCTACTGTTTCCTGTCAAACTATAATGTTCATTTTCAGGAATAAAAATCAGAATTGAAAATATGAAAAAGACAATTACCTTGTTTGATAACAATCATAACCGCTTTCCTGTGTAAAGCAGCTTATGAAACTTTGCTGACCAACTCTTTTAATAATCCTGAAGTCAGACTTTACAAATATTGTTTACAAATGATGCAAGCTCAGAATTTTGCTTTGCATTCATGATGCATTTTTTCCTCTCCCTCAGTGTTCAATCAGTTATTGACGGATCAAATGCACCTTAGGCTGAAATGTAAATGGTATTGTACACTTCACTTCCCACTCCACCCAGCCAGCCAAAGTAACAAAACAGTGATACAAATCAATTGCTGTTTCACAGTTTTCATTCTTTTTATTAAGAACTGTGTATTCCCTAAATGGTTATTTTAAAATTTTTCTACCTACTGCTTTGGCCATGAACAAAACATATCCTTGTGATAACCTTCCCTTCTATCTCCTTACACTGCAGCAGGATTAAGAATTGCTCTCCCCTCTGCTAACAACTGGAAATATGAACTCCTGAAGGAAGACAAGGACTTCTGCTTCAGTATTCTCAGTAGTATACCTGGGGCCTTCTAGGAGCAGGAAGGAGACAGGGGGCCCAGATAGAAACAAGGTAAATGCCTGACCTCACACCACTGAATGGGAAACAACTACACACAATCAATAGGACAATGCTTAAGAATTTACTAAACATTTTCAGCGTCCCAATCTATGGGGAGGAATAATGGATGTACCTTACTTTATATTATTTGGCAAAAATGCAGCAAATGCTTTCTGTAAACTCAGCACAGGAGAACATATATCGTGGGTGGCAACGTGAATCCTACCTTCTCAAGAACTCACCATGGGTAGGACAGGAACCTTTAGGAAATACAAAAACTTTCCATTTTCAACTCGGAAGATACACAAAGACTTGCAGTAATTTCAGGCTTAAAAAGTCCAGATTTTATAACCAGGTGATGTGATATTTATTAAGTGTGAAGGGATGGGAGGGAATGGAGAGGGTTGAAAAAAGTAAATAAAGGCAAAAACCAGTCTTGATGCTTATGTAAGCTCGGGGAACTGAGAGAAGCATACAGGCACCACACTTGAGCTAGCAAGTGACAGCTCCATCCCTATTAGTAAACACAGAGCTTCCATGGGAAATAAAATCTCATTATGGTCAAGAGCAGGATTTTTCAGGTTACAGCCCATCAGCAACTCTCAACTGTGACAGTATAATCAATGTGGCCACCAGTCCTCATTTAAACAATACTCCTTTCAAACCTGTCAGTCGGCACATCACATAAAAGCTATCGGCCTAGCACAAGTTCTTGAATGTGTCCTACAAGACATATCCGGGACCCAAGTGGCATTATTGATTGAATAAAGTAGTATTTGCACCTTCAGAGAATCATCAATTTGCATATTGTTCCTCACCAGTACTGAATCTTTTTTTAATAGAACCACTGAAGTTAATGACCTGTAAACATTTCTTTTACAAATCTTCATTTTCAGAGACCTATGGTTCAACTTTGAGGTTTTTTTTATATGGGTGATTGATTTATAGGTTATATCACAAGATCTTATTACAAAAGGTACAAATAATTAGGAGGTGCAATAAGGTTAAATAACACTCACTCACAGCTAAAATCTGAAGTAAATGATGTCAGTCTCAGATACCACAGAATTTACTTAACGGAACTTTCTATGCTTTGCAAGTCTTAATACATTTTCTTAATAAGCTCTCACCTTAAAAACCTTCAAAGGGCAATGCCCAAAAGCATAAGGCTTCCCATAACTATGACATGTAAGAATGTAAAATTTTGTCTTCAGAACTTCCATAATGAAACTATCATTCTGGATCCCCTGAAACCTGTACCCTCATGTCCAATCACCAAATCCTGAGCTATGGAATCTTTTAACAGCAAATTTAATCAATTTACTTTTCCTCATCTCTGTGTCACCTGGCTAACACAAGCAACATCATGTGCCACCTGAACTGTTAAAAACTCTAACAGAACTCCTAGCTGCTCAGTAGGCCAATGCATGCTACCTGCAGGAAGCCGGATGTTCTTTTCCAAACACAAATCAGATCATATGTCTTTCCTACTTACAATCCTTCAGTGGTTTCCCACTGCCCTTAAAGCCTGATCCCTAGTGTTAGCTATGGTAATACTTTCCACACTTTCACAGTATCTCATCTCTTCATGTTCCTTCCAGACTCACTGCCTGAGGACTTCTGCACATACTGTTCCCACTCTGCAGTACTCCCTCCCACTTCCAGATCAACAACATGTCCACTTCAGATCTTGGAACGCCACCGTTCTTTCAGCAGATAAGACTTTCATAATCTCCCTGCCCCATAGTTTTTCTATGTAAAACGAAGTCCAATTTCTATGTATAACAATAAGTATAAACTGGGAATAACCCAGGAATTTCAAGCCTAGGGTCTTGTTTAGTGTCTGAAACACAGACAGCATAAGATAAAAGTGGCACAGGGAGGCTGGGGTGGAGCACACCTTATAATTAGTAAAAAGGGCTGTTTCAGCCTAAGTTGGGTGACTGAAAGGGATCTGAAACAGCCCATGAGAACAGCACTGAAGCCAAATGGAAGTCTCGCAAAGGGTGACAACACCTACAAGAACAGACACCTGAAGTCAGGCGCTGGGTATCTGATGAGAATCACCCCTCAAGATGTCTTCTACTGCTGCATCTCAAAAGCTCCTACCTTGCTTTCATTAATGGGAGGCAACAGCCTCTGTTGATGCTCTAAGGATGTCCAAGTTGTACCTTAAATTGCCTTGATGACTATTTGCATGGATAGCTAAGGTTTCTGCTTTCTTGATACCCAAGTGTTCCTTTTTTAATATTACTCAGGTCCACTATCAAGTATGTCAGACCAAAAAAAAAAATCAAGATAACACACGTCATGGATTACTGAATGAATATTACGGCTTATTTATCAGTACTAATAAAATAGTTCAAGAGATGGTGTTCCCACACCCTTTACACGGAGAGAACCAGGGGATTTTTCTCAACATGGCCTGTTTTGTCAATTTTTCTACTAGAAAATGGGTGGTTAACACTTCTACATGATGATGTAAATATAATCATGTAACTGTAATACTAAGTTATTCTTGGCCAATAACCATTTGAAAGCAATATCATAAAAAGGTCACCCACACTCTAGGAGAGCTGAGTCTTAAAGTCGCAGAAATATTGAAAAGGTGATTTTAAAAAGTCACCATCAACGTAGATGACCTACACTGGAATCCACCAAATACTGCAAAGGGACTCCACCAGGGTTATGACTGCATACTGAAACTTGCAGATTAAACCACTAGCAAAATACATCCTATCATCCAACTCCTCTGTGCCAACTTTCCAGAAGAAAGTTAATAAAAAAAAAGAGGCTCAGGTAAATGCCAAGGCTGATCTTCTTTGCACAAAGCACTTCCTCCCACCTCTGCGAATCAGAACCCCTCACGCCCTCAAGTACCCCCACAGGCATCAAGCCCCGGGGAGGAAGTGCGGGGGAGCATCCCATGTTCGGGATGCGCCTGAGCCGAGGCCGGGTCTGTAAGGGCTTAGCTCAGTGGACAGGGTCAGGCTTGGGGGAGATCAGGCCGGTATGCTCCGCCAAGTGCTGGAGCGGTGGAGCCGCAGTCACCGCGGCCCATTGCCCGCGCGGTGCGGCTGGCGGTAACTAACGTTCCCAGGCGCCTGACTAAACCCTCAAAAGCCGGGGAGCGTCAGAGCTAACACTCTCGTCTCGGGCGGCAGACAAATGCGTCCCAGCGGAGCCGCAGGAGCTCCGCGCAGCGTCGGGCTGGGCGAGCCGGGAAGCTACCGCGGGGCGGGCAGCCGGCCGGCCCGCGGCACAAGTTAGTTTTCTCGGCTGGAGCAGCCCTGTGGCAGCCCAGAAAGGGAAACTGTCGCCCAGTCCCCTCGGCAGTGCCGGAGCGCCGCCCGCAGGGAAGGGGCTTCCCCAGACGCCCGGCTCTCGGCTGGCGGAGCGGGGACGCCCCTCGGCAATCCCCGGCCAACTGCCCCTCCCTTCGTGCAGGAAAGCCAGAAGAACGGCCGGTCCAGGGCGAGGCCTCCGCCGCACATCGCACCGGGTCTCCCAGCCGCCCGAGTGCAGAGGGAGGCGGCGCTCTCCGTAGGAGCTGGAGGCGGGGCGCCATCGCCCTCCCACTACCCGGCGGGCTGCCTGGGGAGCGCCGGGCCAGGAGCAGCCCCCTACCCGGGACGGGAGGTGGCGGGGTCGGGGGTGGGGGGGAGAGGCTGGACCAAAAGGCCTGGTCCATCCGACCCGCCGGTGGCGGCGGCATCTCGCCTCCTTCAGGCCTGCACGCGCCACAGGCCGCAGCCTGGACCAACCCCGCGTCCTCCCCCTCCCCGCCCTCGCCACCATCGCGGCGGCGGTCCCGGTACCGGGCGAGCGGCTGCGGCCCCCGTGGACCTCGGAGCAGAGTCCCGGGGTGTGGAGGGAAGCCGCTTCAGCAGCCGCCGGCACCCGCAGCAGGGACAGCGCGGGTGTCGGAGGCGGCGCGGAGCCCCGGAGCGAGGAAGCGCGGGAGGAAGGGGCGGGCCGGCCGCGGCCAGGGTGGACAGGGTGCGCGGGGGGCTCGGCGCCCCCGACCGGCCCTGCGCTGCGCCTGCACCACCTGCGGAGCTGCGGCGCCAACGCCGCGCCGCGACCCCGCCGCCCCCTGCGTCCGCCTCACACACACACACACACTCACACATACACACACACGCGCGCGCGCGCAAACAACACAAGTTGCAGGTCGCCCGCCGCCGGAGGGGGCCGGGCGGGTCACTTACCCTTATCCTGCTCAACGGGCTCTGGTCGTCCGGCCGCGAAGAGAGGGAAGACCAGAGGACCACCAGCCCCAGGAAGCTTCCCACTATCAGCAGACTGCGTAAGATGAACCCAATCTTCAGCCTCATCTTCCTCCGGCGGCGAGAGACACACAGCCCGGCGCAGCCGCCGCCACAGCTCTCCCCTCCCTCCTTCCCCCTCCTCTCAGGCTCGCCGCCTCCTTCACGTTCCCCCACCCCTGCCGCTCCCGCTGCCGCCCTCTCCGCCGCCTGCCCTTTTCAGCTCCAAATCCGGAACTCCCCTCGGCTCTACCTTCCCCTGGGCTCTTCCCTCCGGCCCCTCCCCGTGGCCCGCGGGGCCCGGACCGCGCTCTGCCGCGGCCCCCTTCCTCCCCTGCGGCTGCCTCGGCACAGCTCGAGCCCACCGGTGTCCTCGCACCTCCGAGCTTCCTCCCTTGCAGTCCGCCACCCGCCTCCTTTCCTCTTCCCAAGCCGAAGAGCCCCCCCAGCTACCTCGAAACTAACTTAGACTTTTCCCCGGCTCTGGTCTCCTTAGCCTTTGCCCCTACAGCTCAGCTCTTCAGGCTTCCAGGTTCCCAAACTTTTATTGTAATTCTGGACCTCAACTCTAGTCCTTGGCGCCGAGTCCTCCAGGGTCCCCCGGGCCACCGCCGCCTGAGCAGCGGCTCTCGGGCGCACCTTGCAGCCTCACTCGCCCCTAGCCCTGAGCCCCCCGCCGACCGGCTTGCAGGAAGCAAACCAGGAAGTCAGGGCTGCCGCAGCAGTAGCTCCACGTGGCTGATTTATAGCCGAGAGGATTTTTATTATTATTGATTGCTCTTGCTTTTTCACACTTCTCCTTAAGGAGGTGGATTTGTAACTGAAAGGCAGGTAAGATGTGCAAATATCACCGAGCTGGAGGAACTCCTTTGGAAAAGCCGCGTTTCTCTTTCTCTTGAGCTGATGCGAGGAAAGTCAGTGGTCCTAAGCTAACAGGCAATACCAGCCCCGTTCCCAGACTGATGAGATTATATTCCACAGACGGAGGATTTCTAATGTTTCAAACAATGCTTCATCCCTTAGTGTCCTCCTTAGTCTGGATTCCAGCCACTCAAATGTGGTTCCTCGAATTCTGTGTCTTGAATGGCTTGTCTGTGATACCTCCATTGCATAGGCAAGGACACTAAAACTGTTTGACCAATGCCCCGCCCTGAGGAAATATTTACATCCAAACCTTCCATTAAAAATGCCAGCTACTTTACATCGCAGGCATTAACAATGTTTTTGGAGTACTCCAAACCGCCTAAACCAGAAGGTTTAAGAATTTATGCTAGGTTTGGGGGATGGTGAAGGTTGATCTTTTTTCCTGATATTGCTTCGTATCTGCAAGTCTTTTAAAATTTTTTTAATCTACAAATAAATAAAACCTGGCTATTTAAAACTGAGCGTGGAATAGAGAATTTGAATTGTGAAGAATTATACCAACTCATGTGCTTCATTGTTTGGGTGAATATCAAGCTAGCATATCCTATAGATGTCCCTTTTTGTTTTTCAGGATTTCCACAAAGCATTTGAAGGAAGAATCTCAATGAAGAGCATGGTTCCTGAAGTGTAGACTGGTTTCTAGTTTTCTGTGAGGTGCCCACCTGAGGGAGGTGAGGAGTTGAACACACAGCACTGTCTGACTCAGCATTTCTGCCCTTTCCTTACCTTAAAACCACTGACTTCAAGTACAACCTGGGGGAGACTTCACTCAGGGCCTTTGCCGAGTAACACGATGCTAACAAAACTGATGGCTCCTTGCTGGGTCCATGTGGGGATCCAGGAATCTCCCGTTAGTAAGGATCCAGATAGGTTTAAACTAAGTGTCAGCCTTCAGAGAAGCAATGAGAAGGAGGGAGTTGGAAAAAGACAAACCGGGGCAGCTTTGGGAAGTGGGAGTAGGTTTTCTCAGGGTCCAACTTGAGCTCTTCAGAAGTGAGGTACACCACTACATTTGAGGTTTGGCTTAGAACAGGTGACCAGCAAGGGATCTTATGCCAGTCAACTGAGAGAACAATTCCATTTTAACTCAGCAGCCAATGTTGATCTGAATAATTAAACCTGTAAACTGTGCTTCTGTTTTCCCTATCAGAGAACAGAGTTTCTTAATAGGAAGATAGAAAAGTTTTATCTTTCTGAGTGTAACCAGCAAGGGGGCCAGTGGGAAGCAATACCATTGAAGTGATAGGAGTGGTTCTTTGACAACCATAATACTCAGAGAAGATCCTGCTACCACCACTCCTCCCTCTAGTTTCACACACAGAATATAGAACCTGTGAAGGATACAAGGGTAGAATTGGTGGAAGCGTCTATAGTTATAAAAGTCCGTGTTTTTCTGAGCTGTAACCATTTTTTTTTTAAAGATTTATTTATTTTTATTAGAAACTCAGATCTACAGAGAGAAGGAAAGAGAAAGATCTTTCATCCGCTGGTTCATTTTCCAAGTGGCCACAACAGCTGGAGCTAAGCACATCTGATCTGAAGCCAGAAACCTTGAGCTTCTTCCAGGCTCCCATGTGGGTGCAGGGTCCCAAGGCTTTGGGCCAATGTTCAGTTGCCTTTCCAGGGAGCTGGATGGGAAATGGAGCAGCCGGGACATGAACCAGTACCCATATGGGATGCCAGTGCATGCAAGGCAAGGACTTTAGCCACTAAACTGCCATGCTGGGCCCTCTAACAATGTTTAAAAAGAACCTGAAATTATGCTAAAAAAAATGTAAGCCTATTGCAGCTGGGCTGGAAAGTCTTTGTGGAGCTGACAGGACTGTTTAGAAAACGAGAGGGACTCTGAACCTGGGGCTGTTATCTGCCAAGTAGTGGTTACAAGACTCACAATATTATCAGAAGGAATATTGGGGTCTAGTATATATGCAAATATAAAGAACAGATAGTGTGATAGAATTCTTATTACTCTCTGCCTGTGCTATGTGACAGGAATTGCCAGGGTGGAATACTTGTAGTTTGTCCTAGGGTAATGTTCAGTGCAGGAGGGAAAACTCTAGAACTGAATGGAGGGATGTAGGAGAGTAGCCAAGAGAAGCTTTGAATTCTGTCAGGTTATAAGGTCTCATGTGGATGGGGCCTTCGGCTTGAAGGCCAGCTGAGGTCTCAGAAGGAAGGTAACTGGGGAGGCAAATAAAAAATGTTTCATGCACCTGGCATGTAAAAAGTACTTCATACTTTTTATATTATGCAGCCTAATATTGATATTATGGCTGTTCTCAAGCAGGGTTTCAACCTGTCCTTTTTTTTTAAATTTCAGAGAGAGAGAGGCAAATACAGCTCCTGTCTACTTATTTACTCCCTAAATGGCAACAACAGCCAGGGCTGGACCAGAGCTAAAGCCAAGGGCCTGAAACAGTGCAGGTCTCCCACGCAAAGCAGGAACCCTACTGTTTGAGCCGTCATTGCCACCTTTGAGGGTCTGTGCAATCAGGAGCTGCAGTCAGGAGCCAGGAAGCAAACCCAGGTACTCTGATGTGGAATGAGGGAATCTTAACCACTAAACTAAATATCCGCCTCCGGTGTAAGTTTTGCTAACCTCAGAACTCTTACCACTAACATCTTTGCCAAACTGGACTAGCCTTCCAGGCCTGCAATATAAATAAGTGCTTCCAGACAGGATGCAAAAAGTCAGGGAATTAAAGATTTGTTTTCTTTTTTTAAAAAAAAAAATTCCTGTGTCAGTTCTGCCGTGGGAGAACCCACTGTAAGGATTTGTGCCCATTCTTGGACTGCACTCCCCTGGGCTCTCACCAGCTTCCTCTATGCTGCAGCCAAACCTTTCGAAGTGTAACTCAGCTTGCCTTTAGACCTTTGTAAAGGGAGTTCTTTTTGCCTGAAATACCTTCTGATGCCTTAACATTCAGCTTAGATGTCAGTTACAAAAAGCTCTTTTCCTAGAGTTTCCCTCATCATTCCCCATCAATGTACTGGGCTGGGTCCCCTACCAGGTGCTTCCTCTGAGCATATGCTTTTCCTTCCCTGTTAATTATCACTGCACTGTAACCTTCTTCTACTCCCACATAAAAAGGCACATGAAGGTACAGCCTATTATATCCCCGTGGCTGCTGTGGAGAAAGGGTTCAATAAATAGTTTCTGATGGGTTGCTAAGTAATTGGGTTGAGAATATAAAAGGAAGAAACTTTGAAGAGAGGTCAGGGGTTGCTCAAGTGTCATTCCTCTACCTGGATGTTTTTACAAAGAAAAAATACTTAAGGTTTTCTTTCACTAGAAATGTGATTATTTTGCACATGTTCATCATCATCAACAGAGATGCTACTGTTTCTTCCTGATTCAGCATCCTACGAGGGACTAAAGAGAAAGTGATAGTTTTAATTTAAATTCAGATGCTTGTATACCCTGAGATTTAATCTTTTTTAAAGTATTGAAATGGGAACATGCAGCTAAGAGCAATACTCTTTGCAGCCACATTTCAACTACATCTAGTTGCCAAGTACTGAGGTTAAATTAGAATCGGTGACCTATAAATTTTAAGTTAAGTACCCTGTTAGCTATTCCATAAGCCACTTAATCACCTCTTCTTCTAGAAGGAAGGGATCACCAATAGTAATATTTTAAAGTCAAGATGTTTAGAAAAGAAATACTATTTATGTGTCAAGGGGAGTGTGGTTTATTAAGAATATACTGATTTTATATAGTGTTTAATGATTTTTTTTTTATAGCAAATTAGCCCCAAATGTAGCACTTGCTGGTCAGGCATCTAGGAGTGGTTTCACTGAGCAATTTGGCTCAGGTCACTTGGGAGGATCTTGCAGGGTTGTTGGCTGAAATTGTAATCTGATGACTCATTGAGGCCCGAAGAGTCTGCTCCCAAGGTGTTGCACGTGGCCAGCAGGTATGCCTCAATTCCTCCCTGGAAAGCAGGAGGGAGACTTGAGTTCCTCAGCATGGGGGTCTGTCTGTAGGGCTGCTCATAGTAGGGCAAACTGACTTTGTCCAGGGTGAAGGATCTGAGCTCGGGGAACCCAGAATCTGGTACTGTGTTGGGGCGGGAGTGTAGGGCAGTCCAAGGGTATGGATACTCAAAGTTGGCAATCAGAAGCAGTGTTGGTAATCGAAATACCTGGGTAGAGACACTGTTTTTGCACATATTGGGGGTAACCATTATGATAAGCTGAATTGTTCAAAAAGAGTTCTTCTAGACTCAAATTATTGCTTATTTCTGATTATCTTACAAAGAAATATTTTTTATTTATCTGCTATACTGAGATGTTGGATCAAAATAATGTTCAATAATTCATTCTAATACTAAAATTCTGAGGTTGACAGCATGATGTTTATATGATTGAGATTTAATTTGTACTCCTCTGGAATACCACAAAGTCAGATTCTACTTTGGTAATTTTTTTTTCTGACATGGATTACTATTTCTGTCATAAGCTTAATGGGTAATTCCTGAATTGTACTCATCTGGAATAAAAGACTGTTGTCAAGAGCTTCCATTTGATGAGGTTAATGGTCTCCTACAGTGTTTTGAAGGCAAAAATGCTTATTTAAAAGCTCTCTTACATTTCACACTGTAGAGCACCACCTCTTCATAATTTGGTACTGTTTTTGGACTCTTAAAATTTAGAAGTGCTCTTCTAATTTAACTATTTATTGAAGAGGTGATTGATGCAGATTTTATCTCTCACCACTCATTTCAGACTTTTTCGACGGAGTCCAATTGCTCTTAGAATTAAGCCCAAACTCCTCGATTTGTTAGAGACTCTGGGAAGTTTTCCTCTGCTTACCCCATGGCTGGTCTCAGCTTCATGGTTGGACACTTCCTTCCTCTTTCCTAACTGAAACTGTAAGCCATGTTGAATTCTGTGTTTCTGGAAAAGGTCAGGTTCTGTCTCCCTTTTAGACCCTGATGCACATTATTCCCTTATCCAAAGAATAACTAATTTCTCTACCAACCTTCCTCCCACCAAACTCCTGATGATACTTGAGAGTTCAGTTGTTCCTTCAGTTCTTGCAGAAATCCCTGATTCTCTTCAGTCCCCACTCCCCTTGGAGAGCTAAGAGTCCTTATTTCATAGCATCCTGTAAGTCTTCAGATGGTATCAGAGATTGATTTTTGTACTCATTTACTTGTCACCTCTATGAGACCAGTTTCCCAAGGGCAAGGGCTATGTTCTCATTCATTTGGCTTAGTACACCTAGATACAATGACTGGCACACGTGCGCGCGCACACACACACACACACACATACACACACACACACACACACAGAGCTCAACATTTGAGTGATGGAATAAATGTATTATTTGCATATTCATTATGACTGTAATCACAGAGGAGTTTGAAAGCATCCTGCTAAGGTTTGAATGTGATTTGTCCTCTCCAAAAGTCATACTGAGGTTTGATTCCAAAAGCAGTGTTACAGACAGAGGGACTTTTAGAGTTGATTAGCCTTTGGGAGTTAAGTGATGTTTCTGGGGACTGGATTGATCAGTTACCTTGAGAGAAGAGGGTTGTTTTTGTTTGCTTGTTTTGTTTGCTATTTTGTTGTTGCTTGCTTGTTTGTTTTTAAAGCAATGCTAACTCCATCGCTGGGTCTCTGTCAGTCACATGCTCCCATTCCACATGTACCTGCTACTGCTTCTGCTTCTCTGTTGTGAGTTGGCACAGCACAAAGTATTTACAAAAAGCTATACAATCCGACTTCCTAGCCCCTGAACAGTGAGCCAAAATAAACCTCTTTGCTTTATAGTCCCCCACCTTGCTCCCATCTCATATTCTGTTATAGCAACAGAAAATGGGCTAAGTAATTAGCCTTAGTCCTTTAGTAATTATGAATTAACAGGCCTTAAAGGGCTATAATATCGAAATGTTTTGTAGAAGCATGGTTCAGGTATGGTGTTTGGCCCTTATTTAGCACTATAATTCCCAGATAATGAAATGATAACAATCTGAAATTACATGCCTACTCACTGCAGGGAAAATGCCTTTCTTAGAACCTCAAATCTTTAACCTAGGAACCTGTTTGCCATAAGACAAACTAGCCTGTCTGTTATCATCTGGAGATAATATTAGCTATCTCTAAAAGCCTAACTTTGGTGCAACACAGGTGCAATGTAAAGAAATTATGTCAGTAAAATGGGCACAGAACTCATCCTGTCTGAAGTGAAATATGACTTGGCTCAAATCTCTTAGTTTTTCTCAAATTGCTGATAATTCATAAAATTAAGTTCCAAAATTCACTGAAGGGATTCCCAGGTTTTCAGTAGAGATGTTAAATGACCTGAATGTCTTTAAAACTAAAATTTGTTAAGGCATTACTGTAGGTCCTGTTACAGACTGTGCATCTGTGAGTGGTAGTTTTAATTACCTGTGAGTTTACCTTCACATCCCTCCAAAAACCTTGCTTTTGCCAGCTGCATCCAGAGCCTCACACCCTTACTGTCAGACTCTGGTACCTAACAAGACATGTTAGCCTCTCTCTTATTAAGAATATCTTAGATCATAACTTGAATGCAAGAGGCATGGAATGGAAATGAATTTTTTTGAAGATTTATTTTATTATTATTATTATTATTTTATTGGAACGGTGGATAAACAGAGAGGAGAGACAGACAGGAAGATCTTCCATCCGATGATTCACTGCCTAAGTGAGCGCAATGGCCCATGCCATGCCGATCCAAAGCCAGGAGCCTCTTTCGGGTCTCCCACACGGGTGCAGGGTCCCAAAGCTTTGGGCTGCCCTCAACTGCTTTCCCGGGACACAGGCAGCGAGCTGGAAGGGAAGCGGGGCTGCTGGGATAGAACCAGCACCCATATGGGATCCCTGGCGTGCAAGGCGAGCACCTTAACCACTTGTGCCACCACGCCGGGCCCTGGAAATGAATTCTATGGTAAAAGGGCCAGAGAACCCAGGCTGCCACATATAAAATGAGAGCAGTCAGTAGGCCAGAGTGTGTATAACTGGCGAAGCACTGTCTTCTGAATGTGTATCATATGACTGGGTTATTTCAGATACCAGATTATGCTTGCATGCTTTTTTAAACATCTCAGAAGAAGCAAGCGAATTGCATACAAATACAGAAACTGAGATTTTGACTAAAGAGAGATTATTCTATGAGATTTGGGAATTAGGGGCTGGATTATTTGCTAATTCCAAATCTTAATTTTTTTCAATTGTACCTTACAGCATTTTGGCTAATATCTTGAAATTCCGTCTTTTCTTGAGTTATTTCCCAACAACTGAACAACAAACAAGTTCATTTTCTTTTTTGTTTGAATGTGTAATTTATATTCTACGCCTGTTTGGAGAGTCACACCAGGGAGTAGTGAGCCAAGAGTGCTGATCTTCAGGGGGGCTCACAATAATTTCACTTAGATAAATGCACCTTTGGCATACTGTAAAGAATTTTGAAATTTGATTTTTAATTACATTTCTGTTTGGAGACTGGTCTTTGACGACTTTGTCTTATGGGAAGGCTTCTTTTTCTCAAAGCATATAAAATGAAATTTAACAAATTCAGTTCTTTTCTAGCAGCTTTTATTGTATTTTTATGGATCTTTCTATTTGTTCAGCATACTTTTTTAGCAGTATGATATGCTAGCCATTGCGCTGGATACTAGGGTTACAGCAGTAAACTGAAAGCAGAAATATCTTAGTGGAATCAGACAATAAACCTAAGTGTGAATTATTACTCTATTCATTTTTATTGAATAAACTGCTGTATCACATATGTGCCAAGAATTGGTCAATGAATTTACAAAAATAAATGCATTTATTTAGTTAATGCATTAAAACATAAGTGCTATGGGAAAAAATAAAACAAGGAAAGGAATATGGAGTGCTGGGTGGGTTGAGGGGAGGGTTCATTTGTAAGTGTACAGTCAAGAGTTTATTAAGATACCATTTGAACAGGATAAGAAGGGGATGAGGAAGAGAGAATGAAGTTCCCTGAGCAAGAATGCCCCGCTGCCTTAAGGGAAGACAAAGATGGAGGAGAGCTGCAGTGGAGAACAGTGGTTCATAGCAGTGATTGGCTTTTATTTAGCTGGAAATGGGAATGAAAGGCTCAGTGCAGACAGATGACACGGCCCAACTTCTATCTGAATGGAATCACAGCCACAACTTCTGCATTTGACTGAGAAAGGAATGGAGACAAAGACAAGGGCAGGTCTGGAGGCTGTGACTGTAAAATGGAAGTGATTTTAAGAAGTCAGACTGTGGGTATGTTTGATTATTCTTCAACTCTCAACATTCCAAATAATTTGACTTGTTTTGTTTCTGTATTCAGTAAGTAGTTGACTTAATAGCCTGTAAAGCTAACTCTTTAAATGCTGTGGCAGCATCCATTATTTAAAGAAGCTGTGCAAGTGATTACTCAGCAATTTGTTTAACATCTTCTGTTTAGATTTTTGTACAGCACAATACATTTTCACAGAGAACTCTCCCACCCCCATATTTGGAAATTAAGTCTTCCATGCAGCAATGGCAAGGCACCAGGATCAAATGATCTGATGAAAATAACTGAAACTACCAAGCATAATATTTTTAAAGCTTTTTAAATGCAGCTACAGGTAACTGAATGCAAGGACCTTGGATGGGGGATAAACTGAGCATGATAGTTGACTTTTACCTTTAAGGACTTTGGCCAAACCTGAGGTATCTGAGAGAGAGAGAGAAGAAGAAAGTACGCT